GCTGTTAAAAGTCAGTGTGGGGGGGGGGGAAAGGGCGGTTTCCTGTAGCCAGTGATGCTTTTGAGGCTGCTCCACACAGACAATGGGTCATTGACTGAGACCTGGTCTCTCAGCTTTTCAAAGTAGCTTCTCTTTGCTGCTCTGATCTCCCTTGTCAGTGTGTTCCTGGCCTGGCTCTACAGAAACCTGTCCCCAATTCTGTAGACCTCCTCTTTGGCACGACGAAGCTGCTTGTGTCTTACTATGAACCAGGGCTTGTTGTTGTTGTATGTACAGAAGAACTTGTTAGGCACACACACATCCTCACAGAAGCTAATGTAAGATGCCACAGTGTCAGTGAGTTCATCCAGGTCTGTAGCTGTGGACCAAGGCAGCCATTGTCGTCTGTGACATCTTTTCTAATTTTGGACCATCAAGGCAAAATCCTGCAACTCTGATGATGACCTCTGTAGAATAAATGTGGGGATTTTTCAATTTAAAGTGATGCAAGTTATTTAACAAAACCAGCTAAATGTATTCAGCTGTGTTGGCTCTTTTTGGCTGATATGAGCTGGAGGAGAGAGAGTGTGCTGGCTGATACATATTTTGCTTATGCTGAAGTTGGTGAGTTCAGACAGGACACACCAGTAGCAACAGTATCTCCTGTCTCAGCATGGGAACAGCCCGCGCTGCAAAGCTGCTGAGCGGCAGACCTCCACCAGGGATGTATCATGACCAAAACACAACAGAAATTATACAGGGCTACATAATTATACAGATGACGCTAATTATACAGACAATAGTGAAAAATGCCTGGGAGTTGTTGTAGTAAAATGCAAAGCTAGTGGGCTCAAGGATTTCAGGCTTCCTGGCCGGCTGATCCAGCAGGGCTTACCTTCTGCACATCTGAAGGCACCCTTGTCAGAAAATCAAGCACTTCATTGTTGTCGATGCTGTACGGGTTCCGTAATTTCTTGGTGAATTTATTGATGCCTAAAACAGAAATTCACACCAACATATCATTAACACTAGTCTGTTGTGGCTGCATTCTTTGTTTCCACACAAACACAAACCTGCAGAGGAAACTCATGCTGTCCATGAAACTTTGCTGGCAGTAGTGCAGTATAGGCCTTTTTCTTGTTTTGCTTTCACTTTTTATGCTTAAAGAGTTGCAATATTATTCACTCTAGTCATTCAGACAACAGTTTTATGATGATCTTTTAACAGCATTGTATACTTCAACATATTTATCACTACTATTATAAGCATCTACGGTTAAAGAGATAAAAAAGGAAGAAATCAGAGCAGGCATAAAATACAGAGGACAGATCTGTGACCTTGCGAATTTCATGGATAACAGAACAATGCCACAGTAGAAAATGAATACAAATATGGAGAGAGGAAGAAGAGCTCCTCTATCACAGCAAAGTAAGTCAGTGAGTGGAAAGGGGATTTTAAAACTGAGGCAAAAACTCACCAACAATGAACAGATGGTATAAAAATCTATGTTCGGCACTCACCCCACAATAAAACTATGTAGCGTAGAGGAATGTAGTATGTGAGGACTGTTGCAATGACAAAGACCAGGACAGCCAAGCTGGACAGGAACGGCACAGACCAGTTGAATGTGCTGACAAATTAAGATCATAAACATCAGCAAGTGTCAATTTAGTCCCCACTGATTGTGCATAAAATGCCTAACAGTACTTAAGACGTAATAATAAAACATAACAGATGCCGCACTAATGCAGGCATTTTTCTTTTATAATGGATAATTAAAATAACATGTTAAAAATATTCAGCACAAATGACATAATTACGATCTCTTTCACAAACATTTGAGATCCATCCAGCTGAAATACAAATATTCAGCACTAGTGAGCTGTGTTTGCTAATGGATCTTTAATTCTTACTTTTTAATCCTCTCCCCAAAGCAGGCAATCTCGCCCAGCAGGTTTTGAAGCATGATGATCGTTTCTTGGACCATGTGGATTTTGTCCATCAGCCCTTTCCTTTCTGACTCCTACACAAGCACATGACAACAACATGCCAAGAGTCTACAGACTGTCTGTGAGAAAAACTTTCAAGTGTTTCTTGACCATTTATATTTTCTGTTGTGGTATGTACTGGTAGGAATGTCATTCACGGGAAAGTAGGTCATTTTTAGCTGTGAGTACATAAGGAATTGTACTGTATGGAATTAGCATTTAAATAAAAGTTCTAGTTAAACTCTGAAAATCTAGTCAAAGATCTGTGCTAATTGAAAATTATAGTTATGTATAATACCTAGTGATAAGATTGTCAGAAAAGCAGCTCATTAAATTACTGTTAACTCTCAAAAATAGTATCAGTAGCAAATATTACGAATTAAATTGATGATTTCGTTTAAAGTATGAATTTACTACATATGTGTTTATTATGCAATTTGAATATCATTAATTTTGTGTCAATTTTAGTTTCGTTTGTATTCTAAAAAGCAAAACTAAAAAGGTTCAACACATTCATACTGCAAGGTCAAGGGTAATTTGTCAGCTCAAATATCAAAATAAAAAGTACAGTGTTCACAGCAGGTTGACACAGTCTCGAGACAGCTGGTTTGATCCTCAACACATACAGTATATAATAATGCCCATCCAAGTGTCTGAAACAAACTCATTTAATGCCACTCTGGGAAAAGGTGTCTGCAAAATGGAAACACAAAGGTAGACACTTTTAAAAGCAAGGCTGAAACTATCTTTCTGAGGTGAAGGCTTTTCAGAATGGAAGTGGACTTTACATTATGAAAGAGAAGATAGACCATTCTCAGACTAGTCAAGATCCCAGGAGGGACTGGCAGCTTTGAAGTGAACAGATGAAACTAGACTGTCTGAAGCTGTCTGGAGTGGAACCAAGGTTCAGGGGGATGTCCGCATCAAACGCAGGGAGACTGAATGTGGTTTACAAGACTAAAGAGATGAGCTGGGGTCTGTGGGTAGTGGTTTTTCAGCAACTGTTTACTGGCCACAGCCATGGCCATTTTGTGACATCTGTGATATACAGTATGTTTATCTCTGCTCATAGAGTGAGTGCTGGCTCAACGCCATCCAGACTTTGGCGGCATGTCTGGGAAAAGTGGGATATCTATAGAGGGGATCAAACCTGGGATATACCAGATGTACATTGACTATTAGTCTGGAGACCACATGTTAGACAGTTTAGTTTTTGTCTCAATTAAATATCCATCACTGCACTACAGTACCTATCAAAAGTATTCACCCCCTTGGATGTTTTATTCTTTTACTGATTTTATAAATCAATCATGGTCAATATAATTTGGCTTTTTTGACAAAAAAAAACCCCAAACATTTAATGTCAAAGTGAAAACAGATTATTCAAAGTAATGTCAATTAAATAAAAATATGTAGTGTGAAATAAGTGATTACATAAATATTAACCCCCTTTAATATGACTGACCTAATTCAACAGCAAATTGGTGCTAGTAGTCTCACAAGTAGTGAAATGGGGTCACCTGAGTGCAGTGAATGTGTCTCAAGTGACTGTAGTATAAAGACACCTGTGTCTGGAAGGTCCAGCCACTAGTTAATCAGTATTCCTGGCTACTATTACACCATGAAGACAAACAAACACTTCGTGCAACTCCGAGAAAAGGTTATTGAAAAGTACAAGTCAGGGGATGGATACAAAACATTTCCAAGGCACTGAACATCCCCCAGAGGAGACTAGTGAGAGAGGCCACCAAGAGGGAAGGAGCTACAAGCAGCTGAGGTGGGAGAGACTCTGCATACAACAACTGTTGCCCGGGTTCTTCACCAGTCAAAGCTTTATGGGAGAGTGGCACAGAGAAAGCCACTGTTGAAGAAACTCATATTAAATCTCGACTAGAGTTCACCAAAAGGCACGTGGGGCACTCCATGGTCAGATAGAAGAAAGTTCTGATGAGACCATAATGGTGCTTTTTGGCCATCAGACAAGACGCTATGTTTGGCAGACACCAAATAATTGCACATCACCACAAACACACCATCCCCACTGCGAAGCACGGTAGTGGCAGCATCATGGTGTGGGGATGCTTCTCGGCAGCTGGTCCTGGAAGGCTTGGAAAGGGAGAGGGTAAACTGAATGCAGCAAAATATAGGAAAGTCCTGGAGGATAAATGTATTCAGTCTGCAAGAGAACTACGGCTTGGGAGAAGAATCAATTTCCAGCAAGGCAATGACCTGAAGCATACAACCTGGCAGAGCTTGAGCAGTTTTGTAAAGAAGAATGGAGCAGTGTCCAGATGTACAAGCCTGATTGAGACCTATCCACACACACTCTGTGCTGTGATTGCAGCCAAAGGTGCATCTACTAAATACTGACTTGAATGGCAGTGAATATTTATGCAATCACTTATTTCACATTGCCTATTTTTATTTAATTGACATTACTTTGTAGAAACCTGTTTTCACTTTGACAGAGTTGTTTTCAAATGTTTTGGTCAAAGCCAAATTATATTGACCATAACTGATTTATAAAATCAATAAAAGGGTAAAACATCCAAGGGGGTGAATACTTTTTATAGGCACTGTAAATCACTTCAGCCATTTTAGGGTCCTCTTTCCATTGGAACCAATATAAGAACGACTTTAAATCAGGCCATTCAAAACATGTACAATAAAGTGCTGTCACTCAGAAGAGATATTTTATTGCCTAAAAGCATTGTAACACTTTCAGCACAAACTTTCAAAGTGAGCTTTAAAAAAGCATGCCTAAGTGCTGTCATTAGTTCCATATTAATGGTGTTCTTTGGCGTGTTAAGCTCAGGGACTTTCCAAAATGCAGCGGAACCTTTTTCTCCACCCCCTCTATTAACATATGAATGTGTTGTGACATGTGGAAACGGGATGGTGAGGTCTTCATTAATCTGAGATGTCTTTTAAGAACTGCAAGTTTACAAAAAATAATACTAGAGGTTAGCAAGAATCAAAATACATCAGAGAAGATTTAGTACTGAATAAAGAGCTTAACAGCATCAAGTCATAGATCACAGGCAGATAGCTCTGCCAACATGAAAAAATAAACTTGTCTATTCATCGGCATGTAGAAATACACTCAACAAGAAAGACAAAAACAAACAGCCAGCACAAGTACGTACCTTCTCATCGTCCTCATCCTCATCCACGAAAACCACATTCTCCTGGAAAAAACAAAGGGATTGTAATGGAGATTTTAGTGATTCCTAGACCTTCTACATTGTAAACCCTGATGTCAGATCATCTCTCACTGTTCAGACTTTCCAGCATTTTACCTGTTCCTGTGATTCCAGCTCTGACCCTGGATTACTGTTTGACCACCAAGTTTTGCCTAGCCCTCTGTTTCTGCTCGTGTTTTTCTGTGTATTGTACTTCATTTTTAATTGATTTTTAGAAAAAAAAGAGTGAGGGGAAATTAAACTTTAAAACTTTAATACATTTTATTTTTATTACAATTTAATTTTTCATTAAAGTCACAAAAACATCTGTGTATCCTGTCAATTATAGTTCTTAGAAACAAAGAAAATCGGCAGTGGCCAAAATCAAAATCAGACTTAAAATCGGCCTAGAAAATCGCAGTCAACGCATCTCTAATTCTCACTGCTCCCATAGTGTGTGTGTGTGTATATATGTATATGTGTTATACACACACAGAAAAAATAATTCTCCAAAATATTTCTCAGTCTCTGTAACATGACGGGATTATGAATATATGAATCTCTAGCTTTTTGATCGACTGTCTATGACTGCTATTTTTCACCATGTCCTAACTTTGTTTTATAATTTAAACAGTTAGCCCTGGATAGACATAAAGCAGTGCATATTCCATTCATTTCACATCATAATAAAGTCTGCTGTTGTCTGAACAGTGCTGTGTATGTAATCTGCTATAGTCTATAGTCTGTGTTGAACTACCACTGTTCCACAGTGGGCAGAGACAAGATACAACAAACCTTTTTACAGTGAAACTAAGAGTGGTCACACTAGGGGGAAAACAAGCACTGAATTGTGACCTTTTCAGAGCAGAGTGCTAAAAACCTTTTCCAATTTAACCAGTTGCATTAAGAAGGCAACAAAGGCAGAATTCAGTACAGTAACTAAAAGTGGATTGAAAAAAGCAGTGTTAATAAAGGACAAATTAGCATAGGACATAATATTATATTGCATTAGTCTGTTCAGTTAGTTTTCTATGCCTATGTATTATGTGTTTTTATTATGTACTATGTAACCTGGTGCAGCTGGTTGCTATGGAAACAAAACAGCTTTTAATTATGAGAGAAAAAAATGTGGATGAAGTAGCTGTTTTTCTACAAAACACAAAAAGGAGTGTGTACAGGAGTCAGCAGGTCATTAGGCTGAATGAGAAAAAGATGGAGGAGAGTGATGTGCTGCTCTGAACTCACCAGGTCCTGGCTGACCCGGCCTGAGCGGATCCAGAGGTAGTTCCTCAAGATGAGTAAAACCAGGAAGAGGGGCAGCATGTAAAACTCCCAGTACCATACAGTCACCACAAACACCTACAGGCAGAGGTCATAGATGTCAGATTCAGGGAGTGGGTGGATACAACAAACTGTTTATTATGTCACATCCCCAAAAAAGTTCAGTAGTTCCTGAACCCTCACTAACTAGGTTGACCTGTTGATTACATAAGCTAATGAAGGCTGCCCCGTTACTATAGAAGCTTTGCTTCTTATGTGCATTTATTCTGCAAAAGCTGTGCAGTGCAGTGACTCTGCCCAGCTGGACTAACTCTCCCTCCACCCCCTACATAAGCACTGACATTCACCACATACAGTAAGTCTAATTGCTCTGCTTCTTTCATCTTGTACATTAAAGCTGACCACCCGATTCATTGTGGCCACAGGGCGCGAGCGTGTGTCATTAACATCCATAATGGGACTTGCGAAGGATATTCCACCTGTGCGTGGCTCAGGTTAAATTGGATAAGAGGATAAAGAAAAAAGGCTTTTGATGACTCCATTGCACATCTAAATGGAACTATAAAACAATCCTGTCAGAGAGAGAGTGCCAGCCAAAATGGCAGCAAGTAAAAAAGTGTGAGTCATGGTATACAGGTTTTTATATGATAATGAAAAGTAGAAGTGAGCATCTGGTAAAACACTCTTCTCTGAGGCACCAACTGACATAAAAGATGGCAGATCCCCCCCACCCCATCACCAGCTTTAGTGTGCAAAAAGTCAAGCATGCACTTGTCTGTGTTATCATACGCCAAAAGGAGATAAAACTAATTCTTCACTGAAAGGGTTATGTTTTATTAGTGAGGACTTGTAATGACTGGGAGAGCCGTGACAGGAGGAAAATTAAGTTATGCTTTGGTGGAAATGTACACTCGGCCTAAAAAGACTGATAAAGCAGCCCATTTCAGCTTGAGAGGCATTACAACAAGGCAAAAGACTACCTATGGTGGGAGAACTACTGAGCTTGAAGGTAACACACTCTTTGGGGGAAGGGTTTGCATGGTAAAGAGGTAGTCCAAGAGCACAGAGATCACTGACATTTACACCATTCACTATTTTAAAGTCAGAACATGTAGACTTTGCTGAACTGCAGCTACTGCTGTCTGCTGCCATAAATAACAATTAAGGGATAACACTAAATGCTAGAATGTAGTGTGACAGCACTGTTAAGTGGAGTAGAGTCACAAGATCAGTGAACTACTGTACAACATCAGCCCACAGTTTTAGAGAATATATTATAATGGTTGTACCAGAACAAGTACAGCTGTAGCAGCCACCCGCCTGTGGAGTGGACTGAACAAAGGTTGGGAATATGTGAGTCCTTTCAAAAGTTTCACAGTATTTACTTTAGTGCTGGCTGAGGTTCTAAAAATGTATCTGGTGTTAAATGTTCAGTCTTAAAGCAAACATACAGTTTGTAAGCAGTGTGATAGCAGTTATAAGCAAATATGAGACCTCCTGCTTCCAAGGAGCATAAAAGTTTAATTAGGTACTTTTTCTAATTATTTGAAAAGTTAGACAGCATTCATATAATTTAAAATTTCATACCACTACTACTGGGCACTTGGTAGGTTATATACATTAGACTTGATTTACTATACAAGATTCTGTAACCTGCTAGAAATGTAGAGGTATGTAGGTATATGCACTATGGACATGCCCAAAAATCCAAAGGTTTTGGATGAAGATCTGTTGTTCTACTGCTAACAGCACAAGTGAGACGTTTACATGCTGTCTCAGATACTGGAAGGTTCCTGTAGATCCTCTTTTGAGGGATGGATGACAAAAAAATCTGCTACTTATGAATAAATGTCACACAAAAAGTAAGAGAAGGTGAGGTAGACGCACACTGATTTCTGTGTGGGAGTTATGCTCTTCCCTTCTCTCAGAACAGTATCGTCTTTTTTGCTGTTCTATGAAAGGCGCTTTGTTTTTTGGGTGAACACTCTTATTTTTCTGTGTTTTGGGTGAGAGAGAGTGGTAAATTAAGTGCCGTATGGTTTTTCCTGATTTAGATTTCGAAAATAAAAATTGCAATAAAAAAAAAAAAAAGAAAATTCACAGTCTTTTACAAAGTAAAGTCATGTAGGCAACAATGTGATCTTTTATATTACTGAGGGTAAGACAAGGTTCTAGCAAAGGCAGGACTAAGGCTATAAACCATACGCACAGTAATAAAGCACAGTATAGTATAGAGACTAAAGCTCTTTGCTTGAAGGTGTCTGACAAACAGCAGATGTTGCAGGTAGTCCATCACTGTGTCCTGTCATGTAGAGTGAAGCTCTGATTCATTACTCTTATGTGGTGGTACTAAGCAGAGAGCTGTAGTGTGAAAACATGAGTACAGATGGAACTGTCTTTCAAATGCTGAACTGCAGTGGGAGGATGTGTGTGCACACTGTGCGCTTGTTCATGCTTGTATGATTTCCATTACAGTGTGTTGAGCTGTTGGGCAAAACAATACTATTCTTAATAATTAACAGTGTTTATAAGAGATAAGAGTCTTGTTCAGAATGCAGAATCAGAGAATTGTTTGCCATCATAAAGTAGTGTTCCACTGTGACTGCCTGCTGTGGTTTAAATATTTTGATTGCAAACAGTTTCTGGTTACGTACACTGACCCCTGACCCCATCCTGGACCTAGAGGTCCAAATAATTAAATATTATAAAACTAAATGCATGACTTAAAGCTAAAACCCAGACAGTGGCTTCTGTTCAGATAACAGTTCTCTGCTGTGCCTCCCATTTTTCACAGAAAATGGAACCATCTGTACCATTGGTGGGCGTACAGTATGTCTTTACCAGTCTGTGGATGCTGAGAAAAGCTTTAGTGCCATCTACAGTACATTAGCTGTAAAAACAAAAAAAGAACTTTACATGACCTTGACTGCCTGCATAGTAAATGCACAATTTGCTGAATGCCATTTTGAGGTAGCTAGATCTGGAAGAGAATTAAAAAAAAAAAACAAAGCTGCACCCAATTCACTGAAATCCTACTCCAGTATTTCTGTCTTCCTTCTTGCTTATTAACACTTGTATTCAACAATGGCAGGAAGGAAAAACAATCTTCTCTCTGAAAGGCCTTTTAATTGGACTTGTGCCAGTTTAACGAGGTCTAAATCAAACGGAGCACAGACTGGACAGTGGGTTAACGAGTTGTCAGGGAAGTAGAACAAAAACAGAATATCTCGTCTCCACTGGGACTCTACTCTCTCCAGCTGAGGCTCTCTGCATTCACAAGACACACAACACTGAAAGCATCCACTTGGACTCTGAGCCAAGCCTGCGCTTCTGCTGAGCCCAGCACCACATTGATTAAGATTCTCACTGGGAGAGTTCAAATAGGGGTTAGCTGGACTGAAGTTGTCTTGTGCAGACTTGGAGGGAAAACACTCGTTGGGAAATGCAGATATTGGGTTGATAAACCGTTAAAGCACTTCACCAGGAAAGCTAGCAGGCTCCTCTGAACACTCTCCCACTGGAAGCAGCTTTTAATGTACTGCAGAGTCAAGATGATAGCCCTGCACATCGTCTGAACACGCAGCACGTTCCTGGCCAGAGCCTGAAAGACACAGATTAAAAGCATACAACAGTAAGAAATAGTACAGTAGTTAGGTTTAAAATACAAATAAAAGCACAATTCATGCTGTGCTTGTTGTGTATATACGTTTTATTCATGCCAAACAAACCACATTCAGTCAGTGACACAGTGAGAGTAACTGGGATGTTATGGCATGAGCCGCTGTGGTCAGGGGGTAGAAAATATCAGACCTAATTTTATCAACCAAGAGTTTCAACATGAAAACAGAATGAAAATCTGCACATTACGATCCAGGTCCTCAGTATGTAAGCCAATTTTGGCTTTAGTGAGCAATATATTGTCTGACAACAATGAGTCTTTGTAGCACGTACAGACAGTCAGGCACCCTGTCTCGCACCCTGTATATCAAACTAATGTAGCAGAACAGTGGACAAGAACTCAGTCACAGTCAGGGTTAATAAAAGCTCAGTTCAGCTAATTCAGGCGGTGGACAGTCACACTATTGGAGTTTTTGATTTTTAGATCAAATCAAAGTAAAAAGATATTCTTGCTTGAGATAACTGATAAAAAACAATGTGACAGTTCTTTTTCTTATACTGCGCCACTCTGTCACTAAGCTCTTATTTCAATTATTCAAGCATCACAGGATTATTGTTAAAGCACAGTGACCTCTGACCCATGACTGCCTTACAGTTGTTCCTTATAATGTTTTATATTATGGAGTTTAGGCCTGTTTAATCACTGATTAAACTGTCTTAAGTTGCTTTTGTTTAAAAAACGGTCTAAAACCCAAATACTTTAATTTTACTATCACATAAGATAAAGAGAAGCAAGAAACCAAACAAGAGATTGTTCAGCATTGTTGCTTACAAAAATGAAGCAATCAAATATTAAAGAGCTGCTGATTTGTTTTCTGTCTTTTAGTCTAAGCTCTAATGGAGATTATGGGCATTTATCATTCTATGCTATTTATCATGTGGGTAAGCAAATTATCTAAATGACTAAAATTAAAATTTAATGTTAGTTTTTTTTTTATTGCATGCAAAATGAAGATTCCTCAATCCTGAATTCCACAGTAAATTTATCTGAATTGTGTCAAACCTTTTTAGAAAATTTAGGATTCTCCTCCACGAATCTTCTCTCTCGGGGTTGGAATGTTCTTATACTTGCTCTGACCTGATAAAATCAAAAGAATGAACCAATAAGGACCAGACAGATCAGGCCCATCTTTTATATCTTCATGTCCCCATTGCAAGTTGAAATTTTACTTACAGGGTTAAAAATAACATCCAACTCCAGAGTGATGCTGCCCTTCGACAGCCCACCCAGGTCTTCCTTCTTCAGTGACAAGGTGACCTGTTGTCCCCTGCGAATCTGCAGAACAGAAAGGGCATCAGGTGATGAACTCAGCTGTGAACCTGACCATCAGTCATGCTGGATTACATCTTAGCAAGTCTTCAACCCACAGAATTATTATCACCCTCTTCACTTTAATTTACAGTAGACTCAGTGTAAATAAGTCGACTGTGTGTGTGGCAGATTCCTAGTGAGGCAGTGAGTACCGAGAGCAGGGGAATGGCAACTTTTCCCAGAAAGTCTGGCGCCTTGTCTCCATCGTCGTCCAAGATGGTCACCACCAGAACATCATGAATGTCTTTGACAGGGCTGTGGAGGCGAACAAGAAAGTCAGATACTCTTCACAAATTATAGCATTCAGTCCCAGTTTTTCAGTTTGTTTTGAAACAGTAAAACAGCATACTGTAGATAACACAGTATTCATCAGAGTACATAAAAAAATCATGTTGTAATCCTGACAGTGTTTAGAAAAAGAGAAAGTCAAACTGACAATGTGAAGACTTTATTCCATTCTGGGTTAAGGTTCTTATAGATTGTGTGGGTCTGAAGTCTGTCATTCCCTAGTTCCAACACGCAGAAAGGGTCACTCTTGCCTACAGAAAACAACACACAACGTTAACAACGGGCTTTCTATTTTAACAACAGAATAAAATTCTAACGTGTGCAGTACCATTTAAATCAGCTGCCAGAAGATCTGTAGCCTTGATAACTTTGACTTGAAGATAACCAACATCATGGAGGGTTTTCAGGGACTTTTTCAAACACTATGGGAACAGTAAGCAGACAGGAAGCATGAGGGTATAGAAGCATTTAACTCTGAAAAACACACTGAGAGCACAAAACTCCATTGAGACTGCACAACCATAATGTCTGTAGTAATACAATTATCTTAAAAATCCAAATCTGCAGAAAAATACACAGTGTATTATCAGATCCATTTGCCAGATTTCTTTCTCATTCAAGTCCAGCAGTGAAGAAATAGTAAACATATTTAAACATGCCCTGTGCCCAGATGTTACGAAGCTCTTGGAATAAAAATACTGGGTTCACAACCAGATTTAAGTATCTACATCAAAAGCTAAAACACTTGTTCCTAGGCTTCACATTTCTAGCAAAATTTACTGGAAATGTGTTGTTAAATTCACAACATAGAGAGCATGGGTCTATATTGCCTATACATGTCTACAAACTAGTGAGGTCACCCAAATCCATCTGCACATTAGGAAAAGAAATAAATCTACAGTATATATAATCCTAGGCTAATCTCTATATGCAGACTGTCAATGAGATGGGAAGTAGGGATGCAGATGGTGCTGCAACACCCCCTGGTGGATGATAGAGGACCTGCATGTCCACCCACAACTATACATTTAAAACATTAAATATATTAAATAAGTTTAACTTAATTTGTATTGGTAATGTTGACATGCTAATAATATTCTGATCTTAAGTCCTACATGTATGTGTGTAGCCCATATTTTGCATATGTTTAATTAGCCTACATAATTATTATTCCATTCATAAACAATTTGGTACTGTATGTTCATCAAAGATACAACATGCATTTTTTTATATAATCACATAAAAAAACATGCACAACCAAATTTACAGTAGGTATATATCATTTATACAGATATTTTACATATTGGTGTTTAGGGTGGTGCAACCCCCAACTCACCATCCCCACAGCACCCCCCACTTGAAACATCCCCACTTTTTCCAGTGCTAAACTGCAAAATAAGTTGCTCTGAATAGACAAAAACAAACCACTGTGCTATTGTTGCAAAAAATCGTAATCAAAAAATAAATAAATACATAAAATAAGATAAAGACATGAAAGGATTCAGTTGAATTTTTGTTGTTGTTCAGTTTGCCAATGTAAAATGAACAAAATCACATTAGATAACATTACAGTGCAAAACATGGACTGTATTATAAAAAAAGAAGAAGAAGAAAGAACTGCAACAGAGATATCAGCTGAATTCTGATGAGGCTCTGAAACATGTTAATGTGTGTTCAGACGCCATCGCGGCTGCACTCCACTATTCCCCTTCTCAC